CACGGGTATAGAAAAAACAACGAAACCGTAAGGGACAGGGAGTGGTGGGACTTCACATATGACGCGAGCGCACTCCCACTCTCTCCCTCCCTCTCCTCTTCCCGCACCCCCTCCCTTCCTCATCCTTCCACCAAGCCTGCGTCATTCATTTTCCCTACGGACCGCCCTCTCATCCGCAACTATGCCCCCAAATTCCTCTCCTCTTCTCCCCCGCATCGTCTCTTCTCCCTGCCTCTCCCTTCACCTCTCCCCTTCTCCGTCCTCCTTCGTCTCCCATCCCTCCTCCATCCCTGCCTGAGACAGGTGAACGAGAGATTGCAGGAAGGAAGCGAAGGAGGGGGGAAGAAGGGGGTCAGGAGGGGGGGGGGGGGGCGCTGCAAGAAGAAGCAAGGAGGGAGAAAGAAGGGGCGGAGGGAGGGGGCGGAGGGAAGGGAGGTCGGAGAGGAGGCAGGAGGACGGACGCGGCAAGAGGGGAGAGCGAAGGTGAAGGAGGGAAGGAGGGAAGGAGGGAGGGAGGGAGAGAGAGAGAGAGAGAGAGAGAGAGGGAGGTAGAGGGTGAGGAGCAGGGAGGGAGACGGGGAGGAGCATGAGGGAGCAGAAGGGAAGCAGGATGGGGGTATAAAGGAAAGGGGAGGGAGAGGTGGGAGGGAGGCGCTCGGCTCAACTGTTCGGGGGTGATCCCGCTCCAATGCAAAAGGGGGGGTGGCCGGGGGGAAGGCCCCCCGAAACCAGCCAGGCGGCCAGGGAACACCGACTCGCCGTCGCTCGGACGTCCATTCCCCGAGCACTGTTCGGCTTCCTGCGTGGTCTCTCGGGCCCGATGGTCGGGCATGCGGGCATGCTCCTCGATGGTCCTCGCCGGGAATGCACGCACGCGGCGGAGGCGAGGGCCCCCCGACGCCAGCCGGGCGGCCAGGGAACGCCGACGGACGCCGGGCCGGGCTCCCCCGGAAGGAGCGCTCTGCCGCGGTGGCTGCGGGGCTTGGGCCCTCTGGCGGCGGGGGACAGACCTCCCTTTAATACAGTCGGGGCGTTGACCTAAGGAACCCTAAATAAGGAACGAGGCCCCTTTTTTCCATAATTTAAACTTCGAGTTCCCATCGAAAACAGAAGGAAACCCGGAGGCAAGCTGCGAAACAATCAAGGAACACGGAGCCCCTCCCCAACGAAGAGGGTTCCGTCTTCAGGGCCCCGACTGTACGCCTCCCCTTAGGGAACAAGGCCCGGGACCGAAACCGACGGGCCCGGACCCGCAAAAACGACGGCCGCGGCGCCCTCTCGCGAGCCGAACACGGCGCATCCGCGGAGCGGCGCGTCAGGGCAGGAGGTCTGTCCACCTCCGACTCTGGCGGCGGGGGGAGGGCCCCCCGAAGCCAGCCAGGCGGCCAGGGCACACCGGCGGGCTCCTGGGCCGGGCCCCCACCGGTGGGGACAACGCTCTGCTGCGCGCTGGCCGCGGGGCTCGGGCCCCCTCTCCCGGCACCTCGCGCGGCCCCCGCCCACCCGTGAGCCAGGCGGCCCGCCGAGGAGCGGGAGTGTGAATCAAGGCCTCCTGGATAGAGGAAAGAGAACTATGCACACACACACACACACACACACACACACCGATTCTGGCCATCGGTGCATACGCCCTCCTACCTTGGCCAGGAAGGCATATGCACCGATCATGGGTCAAGGATTGGCTTTGCAAGGATCGGTGCATGTGCATAATTCTCTTCGCCCAACTAGATGGGGTCGGAGTAGATGGGGTCGGATGATGACGCCGCATGGGCGATGCATCAGCGGTGCATCGGCGGCGCACCGGCGATGCATCGGCGACGCTGGCGTGGACATAAAGGGGCTCTGCATCGGGCCGCATCGCCGATGCATCGGCGATGCGGCGCGACCCTCAGGCCCCATCTGCTCGGACCCCATCTTAGGAGGCCTAGAGTGAAGCACGGGGCAGGGCGGGGTGGCCGAAGCCTGGATCCCACTTGCCGTACAGCCCCAGCGAGGGCCGCACGCGCCTCACTCGCAGCGGCCAGGTTTCGCACACGCTGCCGCCGCCAGGCCTTCGGCAGTCCTCACGCGGCACCTCTCCGGGAGAGTGCCTTCGGCGGAACGCTCCCCCGATGCTCCCGGCCTCGCGAGACCGGAGGGAGCTGCCTGGGGCCGCAGAGAGGTGGAGGGGGGAAGTCCCGATCAAACAGTGTTCCTCAGATCGGAGGTCTTCTTGGGCTTGGTGCGGGGGGGTGTTTCAATCAGCTGCGCCTCGCCGAGTGCCTTCCGGGGAAGGTCCCAAAACGCCGGCCGAAGCGATCCTGCCCAAACACCAGGGTTGATATGTGTGTATATATATATATATGTGTGTATGCACATCTATACGTCTATATATGTATATGTATATACAGATTTAAATATATACAAACACACGTCTACGTTTGCGAGGCAGGGACCACCGCCTTGCGGATAAAGGTATGACTTCTACACAATAACCTCTATGCATATTTCTAAGTGATCCACTTATAAATGTCTTACATATACTTGCTCTGCTTCTACACAACCACTTCTATATCTAACCTTCTATATCTACTCCTACGTGTTGAGATCTGACATATCCACAACCACCGCCCGTGGATCGATGATCCGGGACCTGACCTGTCCACAACCACCGCCCAAGCAGGGGGTGGATATGGACAAGCCCATGCAAACGGGGCGTTGGTAAACGGGGCGGTAGCTAAGGGGCCTCTCCAAGCGAGAACGGGGTGACAGGGCGTTTGCCTCGCGCCAGTACGTGATACATCGGGACGGCAAAAAACGCCAGCACATCATCAGAACTCTGGGCGGGGAGGTTACCTCGCACTTGTGCGCGGCAAATGCATTTCTTAAAGTACCATTGGAAAACGCACCCTCGACTACTGGCCCGTTTACTAACGCCCCGTTTGCAGGGCGAGTCGGGAAAATATAGGACTCCGGTTCGGGAGACTCGGGTTCGGGAGGACGGGGCCGTCAGGAAAGTGACGAGACCCAACCTGAAAATTGGCGCGAACTCACGCTGCTACGAATAACATCCCACGGACCATGGACCGACAAACCTCAAGAACGGCCCGTCAGAAAGCGTCGGAAAATCGAGCTCCAGCGACCTCGATCCTGATTCGCCGACTTTTGTTCCGGCCTCCGCAGGAAAGGTCCTGGCGGAGCTCCCAGTGCGGCCTCCTCCTCCAAATCCTCCTCTTCCTCCTCCTTCTCGCCCTCCCCCTCCTCGCCCTGCTCCCTGCTCCTCCCCCTCCTCCCCCTCCTCCTCCTCCCCTCCTCCTGCTCCTCCTCTTCCTCCTCCTCCTCCTCCTCCTCCTCCTCGTGCTCCTCCTCCTCCTCGTGCTCCTCCTCCCCCTCGCCTTGCCACATCCTCCTCGCCCTGCTCCTCCTCCTCCTCCTGCTCCTCCTCCTCCTCCTCCGCCTCCGTTCCTTGTCCTTGTCAATAGCATCTCCCTGTCGCACCCCGAGGCCAGTCTTTAGAGCGGGCCGGGTGTTTCGCATGAGATTTCCTAATCATGTATGACCCTGAAGCTTAAACATTCGCAACAGTTTCACAAATGGAGAGCGGGTCGTCCTCAAAATGGAGCTCTCGCCTTAGCGCCACGCGAATTCGGTTTTAACGCTTTTGGCTAAAGTATGCAAGTGCTTCACATATTGAGGGCGACACGTTTTCAAAGTGTGGCTCTTGCGTTAGCGCCGCGTACACTCGCTTTCTGGAGCTTCACGGATTGAGGGCGGCTCCTTTCCAAAAATGTGGCACGTTCGTTTTTAAGATTTGCCAGAGCTTCACGGATTCCCATAATCAGCGTATCAGAAATAGTACTTGGAAGGAATCCGGATTCTGAGGGTGTAACAATTACGTTGGTTCGCTGTGTTGAAGTCCCAGGAATGGCATTATGGTAAGATTCAGGGACGCAACTGTCAGGTTGATCCGAGGCGTTGGAATCCCGAGAACAACTGTTTGGCATGCTTCAGGGTATTCAAACGGTTGTCTTCCAACGAGGCAGTTCCCTCAGAGGAAATGAAACGTTGTAGGGGCCTACGAAGAGGGAGCTTCGAGGGAGGGTTGACTCCGACATCGTTCATGATTCTTGGTTTACACTGGTCCTCCTCCTCGTCCTCCTGCTCCTCCTGCTCCTCCTGCTCCTCCTCCTCCTGCTCCATCCTCCTCCTCCTCCTTTTCCTTTTCCTCCTCCGCCTCCTGCTCCCTCCTCCCCCTGCTCCCAACTCCTCCTCCTCCTCCTCCTCCTCCTCCTCCTCCTCCTCCTCCTCCTCCTCCTCCTCCTGCTCCCAACTCCTCCTCCTCCTCCTCCTCCTCCTCCTCCTCCTCTCCTCCTCCTCCTCCTCCTCCTCCTCCTCCTCCTCCTCCTCCTCCTCATCATCATCATCATCATCATCATCGTCCCCTGCCACATCGCATCTTCCCCTGGCACGGCCTGCGACGCCCTGCCCGCTGCCCTGCTAACCCCTTGCGGGCCTCCACCCCCCCCCCCTCCCGCCGCGGGGAGGGGCGAGGGCCCCCACCCGCCCGGCCCCTCGAGGACTAGGCCCTCTGCGGGAGCTCCGCAGCTCTGACGCCAAGGTCCCGGGCCACGGGCAGCGATGGATATAGCTCTGCAGGAGCGCAGCCTAACATGGAGGGCCGCAGGTGGGGCGGTGTCGTTTTGCTTTTGGTCGACGGGAGCACCGCGCCGCTGCCGAGACAGGGCGGAGGATGACGAGGGAGCCGAATGAGAAGAGGAGCCTCAGAACGCCGCGGACACCTGCCCGTCTGACTGCCTCCCCCTCGAGAGAGGAGCGGCCCTCGGCCCCAGCCCCTGCAAAGGGCTCTCTCGTCGCGGGCCGGTCTTGGTGGCCCGCGGGGCCCAGAAGCGGAACCCGCCCCCTCCTGCTGCTCCCCCCCCAGCATCCCCCGGTCCTCCTCCTCCTCCTGCTCCTCCTCCTCATCCTCCTCCTCCTCCGCGCGCCCTGGAAGGCGGCGGCTCCTCCAGCTCGTTGACCTTCGACTGGAGCGCGTTCACCTGCGTGTGGCCGCGCTCGCGGTGACAGCCCACTGGGCTCTTTGCCAGAGAAGACCCGTCCTCGTCTCGTCGCAGTTGCTGTCGCCGCCGTGGTCGTGGTCGCGGTCGTCCTTGTCGCGGTCGCAGTCGCGATCGTCGCTGTATTGCTGCCTCCGCCAACGTCCCCGCCTTCATCGCAGTCCTCACCCCTATCGTCGTCGTTGTCGCGGTCGTCGTCGTCCTCCTCCTCCTCCTCCTCGTCCTCCTCCTCCTCGTCCTCCTCGTCCTCCTCCTCCTGCTCATCGTCGTGCTCGTCGTCGTCCTCGTCGCATTTGTCGTGGTGGTCGTCCTACTCCTCCTCCAAATCCTCCTCCTCCTCCTCCTCCTCCTCCTCCTCCTCCTCCTCCTCCTCCTCCTCCTCCTCCTCCTCCCCCTCCTCCTCCTCATCCTCATCCTCCTTCTCCTCCTCCTCCTCCTCCTCGTCCTCATCGTCCTCGTGCAAGTCCTCGTCCTCGTTATCGTCGTGCTCGTCCTCGTCCGCGTCCTCGTCGTCCTCGTCCTCGTCGTCCTCGTCCTCGTCGTCGTCGTCGTCTTCGTCGTCGGTAGTGTCGGCGTCGTAGACGTTGCCCTCACTCGCATCCTCAGAATATTCCTCCTCCTCCTCCTCCTCCTCCTCCTCCTCCTCCTCCTCCTCCTCCTCCTCCTCCTGGTCCGTCTGCCCTTCCTCGCACGATGGGATCACGGGCCTCGGCCAGGACCAAGGAGACCCAGAGAGGCCCCCAAAGAGGCCTGTAGAAGACCTCTGGTCCACGACCTAAGCAGCGTGGCGGGCTGGGCCCAAGGCCACTAGACGAGACCCAATGGGAACATGCAGGGCTTGCACTCGGAATCCTCGGGGGTATGAAGGGCTCGTCGTAGGGATCGTCAGGACTCGGGTTCCTACGAGGCCTCCTTGCGAAAGAGCCGCAAATGCTCGAACCTTCAGGAGTCTTACTTACGGGCGGATGGCCCATGCGCGAGGCCTGGCGGAAGCGCGGGGACAGCAGCAGCGGACAACACTGTAAGTTCTGAGTACGCGGCAACGGCTGCGCTCGTTTCCGGAGCGGAGGCCCCCTTGACATCGATGTGTGAGTCGCTGCCGTCGCGGATGTCGAGGCCGGCGGCTGCCTGGATCAGGCCAGTGACGTCGGCTGACGGCGCAGCTGAGGCCATCGGGCGGGACCTCTGGGCGCGTTTGCACGCGCAAGCGATAGTGTTGATACGGGCTGCAACCAGGGGGCCATCAAAGAGAGACTTGAGCCCCACGACTTGAGCCTGAGCTCGAAACTTGATAGAGATGACACTGAGTCACCTTCTACGTCTGTACCCTGCAATCGCCGCCCCCCCCCCTCAACACGCACTTTGAGAGGGGGGGGTCGTGATTGCAGAGCCTTTTGGGGAAGAGGGCGGTTCGACCCCGACCTCCCCCGGCAAGCGTGCACAGAAGTCGCCCGAGCCCGAGTTCGGAGGAGGTAATTACGGGCACCATCTCGCCCAATCGGGGACTGAACTCCCCGCGCCGCAGCCGCTGGCGCAACTGGAACGGCGTGAGGGGCAGCGCTGGGGGGGGATGGGCTCAGGGGGGAAAATCGAGGTGCAATCGGCGATGCAACGCCGACACATCGGCGGCAGGCCCCCGATGGCGAATCCGCCCGGTCGTCGGGCCCCCATCGGCGACGAATGGGCGGCCGGGCATCGACACATCACCCCCTGAGCCACATCCCCTCCCCCCGCCCCCCGCCCCCCGCCCCCCCCCGCCCCCGAGGGCGGAGGGCAGCTTCGGGGCCACCGGCGAGGGCGCAGAGAAGCATCCCTCCCTCCCTCCATCCCTCCTCCGTCCTCCCCTCGTCCGTTCCATCCCTCCTCCCTCCCTCTCCTCCCTCCTCCCCTCCTCCCTCCTCCCTCCTCCTCCTCCCCTCCTCCCCTCTCCCTCCGCCCCTCCCCCCTCCGCCCTCCGCCTCCCCGCCCTCCTCCCTCCGCTCCCCTCCCTCCTCTCTCCTCCCTCCCTCCCCCTCCCTCCCCCCCTCCTCCCTCCCTCCCTCCCCCTCCGTGGCCTCCGACGGCCACAGCTCGCTCGGGCCTCCGACGGCCGCCCGAGGGCGGCCTCGCCGGGGCACCCCCCCCGGCAGCCGCTCTCTCGGCGGGGCGCGGCGGCGGCCGGAGCGCATCCCCCGAGGCGGGCAGGCCGACGAGGACCCACGAGAGTGTCGACGCGCGCTCCGGGGGACCTTCCTGCCCCTCCTCCTCCTCCTCCTCCTCCTCCTCCTCCCTCCTCCTCCTCCTCCTCCTCCTCCTCCTCTCCTCCTCCTCCCTCCTCCTCCTCCCCCCGGCAGCCGCTCTCTCGGCGGGGCGCGGCGGCCGGAGCGCATCCCATCCCGAGGCGGGCACGCCGACGAGGGCCCACGAGCGTGTCGGCGCGCGCTCCAGGGGGGCCTTCCTGGAGGCGCTCGCTCTGCTCTCGGGTCGGGCGAAAGGGGGGGATAGCAAAGGGGGGGGGTGAGAATCAGCTCACGCAGCTGATTCTCCCGGCGCCTCCCGGCGCCGGGAGGCGCCCATGTATCGAGGGATGGGCCCCTCGGTCGGGCCGAAAGCAGCTGCATGCAGCAGATTTCGTAACCCCCCCTGACCTTCCTGGAGACGCTCGCTCTGCTCGTGCGTCGACGTGGCGTACAGTCGAGGCGTTGACCTAAAGAACCCTAGATAAGGAGCGAGGCCCCTATGTTCCATGAGTTGAGCTTCGATCTCGTATCGCAAACCTAAGGAAAATCCAAGGCAAGCTGCGAAACACTTTAGGAACACGGAGCCCCTCCCCAACGAAAAGGGTTCCTTCTTCAGGGCCCCGACTGTAGAGCGTCCGTCGACCTGAGACGAACTTCGGCCGGCCTCGAGCCGAACTTGAGCCGAGCTCGAGTCGAAGCAGAGGCGAACGGGGGTCGAATGTGGAGTGGAACGGCGCTGTCAGGTGGCCCCCCAGGGAGGTCCCCAGGGCGAGCACCTGACCCTGGCGTCTCGCCCCATCGGGGACCGAACCCCCCCACGCCCCGGCAGCTGGCGCAACCGGAACGGACCGCGGGCGGGCTTCGCCTGCGCCCCCCACTCTCGCCCCCCCGCGACCCCCAGGGGCGGGGGCGGGGGCCCAGGCGGCAGCGGCTGGAAAAAGCGGCCGCGGCAGGCCGAGGCCCCGCCGCGGAGCGAGCGACGCCGACGCCGTCGCAGAAGACGACGAGGACGACGAGGACGAGGACGAGGACGAGGACGAGGGCGAGGACGAGGACGACGAGGACGACGGAACTGAGGAAGACGGAGACAAGGGCGACGACGGCGACGGCGACGACGACGCCGCTGATGGCAGCGAGGACGACGAGGTTGACAAAGGCAGTCAGGGCGACGAAGACAACAAAGACGGCGACAACAAGAACCAGGCCCAGGACGAGGACATCGACGAAGACAACGAGGAATATGACGGCGGCGAACGGCGGCGACAACGAGGACGAGTACGACGACAGCGAAGTCGACGATGACGACGAGGACGACGACGAAGACGACAACGACGACGACGACGACGACGACGACGACGACGACGACGACGACGACGACGACGACGACGACGACGACAATGACGACGACGACGACAACGACGACGACGACGACGTCCGTCGTGCGTCGTCAGTCTTCCGACGTCGTCCGTCGCCTCCAGAGAGCTCCAGGTCCACATGGGGCCCAGAGGTCCCGGGAGGCCTCTAGGAGGCCTCATGGGATTCCCCTGGAGGCCCGAAGCAAGCCAAAAAAAACGTCCAAAGACCTCGATCCTCGAGCCTCGACGGCGGCGGCGGCGACAACGACGGCGCCGACGCCGACAGCGACCTCCGAGACTCTGGGAGCCTCCAAAGGTCTCCGAGAACCTCCTGGGAAGCCTCCGACAGCCTCCAAGAAACGTTGGTGAACGCTTTCTTATTCGGCGTTTCGACATTGAGCGAAAGGGGGGGGGAGAGGGGGGGTCTGGCTCCGGACCTCTGCTTAATGCGACTGTTTGCAGCAGTGCGTCCTACGGGGCAGACTCCACCTGCTCGAAACAGGCGCCGAAAGCGGCCAAGACCTACTCCATGGAGGGGGAGGGGGGGGGGGGGCGAGGGCTCGCGCCGATCGGCAAAACAATGAATAGGAAAACGATCACTTGAGCTCAGTCCAGAGGAGCAGTGTTTCTGTTTCTGTTCTTCGGGATCTGACAACCTACCAGACCACCCCAACCCAACCCGAAGACCCGAATTTCGGGTGGGGGGGGTTAAGGGCTCCACACGTGTTTTTTCGATGCTTCCCGACCCCCCCCCCACTGGAAATCGAGGGTAAATCTGAGCCTTCGGGTTGGGTTGGGGTGGTTTGGTGGGTGGTGAGAAACGGTGGGAGGGAAGTCCTGGTGCGGGCAAGGCGTGTTCCATATCCACTGTGGGGACAGCAAGCGACCACAACCACCATCGTCAGAACACGGAAGCCAGCCTGGCTGTGGCCGATGTGGGCGTCCCAAGACGGCCGAATCGACCACAACCACAACATGTCGAGATCTGTGGGTTCGTCGAGGATCCGTCGAAGGCCCTGCGGGGTGGTTTGGTGGGTGGTGAGGATCCGTCGAAGGCCCTGCGCAGCCGCTGAGGGCCGTCCGCGGCGGCAGCGCCCCCTCGGCCAGCGACGAGGACGAGTACGACGACAGCGAAGTCGACGATGACGACGAGGACGACGACGAAGAGGACAACGACGACGACGACGACGACGACGACGACGACGACGACGACGACAACGACGACGACGACAACGACGACGCTGAGAGCCGTCAGCGGCGGCAGCGCCCCCTCGGCCGGCGGAAGGTCGGGCGGGGGCCTCGCTGTAGAGGACGTCCACCCACTTGGCGAGCGAGGCGGCCTGCTTGGCCGCGACGTCGGCGTGCCTTGCCGTGGCGAGGAGGGGGGGGGCAAGCAGGGGGAGGGAAGAATCTGCTAGGGGGGAAGGAGGATTCCTCCAACCCAGACCCCCTCGGGTCATGAAAAAATCACGACGGGAGGTTTTTCGCTATTTTCGGCCTCTGGGGGCTCTCACCGGGCCTCGGGACCGTCAAGAAACGACTCAGGATGAAAAACCGGTCCCGGGGAATGGGTCTGGACCTCTTGGGGTCGCGTCATGAAAAAATCATGACGTCGGGGGTCTGGGAACCCCCCTCGCAGAGGGAGGGATCCTGCACAATTGCACGATGTAAACAGAACTCTCCTCTCTCCCCTGACGACGTCCGGAAGACGTTCGGCCCCCCTCCGCGTACTGCTTTTTACACACAGGATTCCCGGGAAGAAGGTTTTCGCTTAGGCTTTTGTTCAAAATGCTGCTCCCGCTGAAGCGCCTGCCCGATTTCTGCGCATCTAGTTGTTCCAAATCGTGCTCCCGCTGCAGCGCGGGCGTTTTCGGTCCTTCCAAGTAGCCCCAAAAAAACACCATCGGAAGTGATTACACACTCGGTGTCGTTGATTCTCTGAGCCGCAGAAGCCCCCCACACGCACTGTGGGGCGTCGTCGCTTCCAGGAAGTATCAAGCGGGAGCCCCGCTTCTGCTTTGAGAAAGCGATGTCGAAAGCAGAGCCAGCGGGTGCTCTCCATCAGCCCCGCCCTGTGTGGAGCTTTTCGGGGAGCCCAAGGAGCTAGACATGGAGCCACGACTCCAGAACGGCCCAGACCTCTCGAAGACGATCCACTTACCCTCCAAGGGACCCGGCGCCGAGCTACGACACGCTGTGCGATGTTGTGATGTCATGTTCTGCGCCGCGGTGCGATGCCATGCTTTGCGTTGCAATGGTTTGTTATGCAATGCTTCACTGCGCAATGCCACGCAATGCTATGGCATGCTACGCTCTGCCGTGCTCCTCTACGCCATGCCATGCCGTGCTCTACCATATATCGCATGCCCTCTCGCGATCATTGCCCTGCTCGACATCAGACTGTGCGAATAGAGAGAGATCTACGCCATGGCGAGGGATGGGAGGGAAAGGTAGGACGTCGGATGTGGCGCGAGCGCACCTAGCTTGTCCTACCCCCCCCCACCTCCACCTCCTCGTCCACCTCCTCCTCCTCCTCCTCCTCCCTCCTCCTCCTCCTCCTCCTCCTCCTCCTCCTCCTCCTCCTCCTCCTCCTCCTCCTCCTCCTCCTCCTCCTCCGCGTCACGTCCAGCTGCATGCATCGCCGCCCCCCTCCGCCATCTTCCCTCCGGATGAGGGCATAGCTGCGCCGTCCCGAAGCCACGCCCCTGAGGCCACCACTCCTGGCAACAAAGAACAGACGGGTCCGCGCTCCCCGAGGCCACGACCCCCGGCAACAAAAAAAAACACATCCGCGCTCCCGAGGCCACGATCCCTCGCAGTAAACTCCAGGTCCGCGCTCCCGAGGCCTCAGCTCCTCGTAAAAGAAGCGGGTCCGAGCTCACGAGCTTCGAACAACAAAGACGGTCGAGGCAGGCAACCAAGGCCACCAAGATAGCCCAAAAGGGGAAACTAAAGAGTACCGACGCCGCTACTCCCCAGACCTCTCTGGGGGTTGAGTTCAGGTTCAGGCCAGAATTTCAAGGCGAATCCAGCGGTGGCGACGAGGGCCTCCCAGGAGGCCCCAAAAGGCGAACACGAGGGAATGGTAGCGGTATAGGTACCTGTTCTCCTCTGGCCAGGATGCCTCCAAGACGGCCCTGAATGGCCCGAAGACGACCCAGCAGGGCCCCCAAGTGGCCCGGAAATCCCCCAGGGCGGCCGCAAGATGGCCTATGGGGGGGCCCCTGTTCGGCCGGGGGGGCGGCCCAAAGACAGCCCCAAGCTGCCCCGCCCCCCCCCCCCCCCAAAAAAAAAAGCCCTCGGGAGGGTACCCAGGGCGGCCTCGGAGAGCCTCTCGGCGGCCCCAGCACGGCCGCGGCGGCCACAAGAGAGGCCTCCCAAACGGCCGAGAGGTACCCCCAAGACTGCCCCGCAGGAGTCCAGGAAAGGGCGGAGGAACAGGATGACGAAGACGGGAGTCGGCGGTGGACAAACCTCCCTTTAGTAAACCTCCCCTTAGGGAAAGCGGCCTGGGACCGAAACCGACGAACCTGGACCCGCAACAATGACGGCCGCGACGCCCTCTCGCGAACCGACAACGGCCAATCCACGAATCGGCGTGTCCGGGCAGGAGGTCTATCCACCCCCGACAGGAAAGGGCGGAGGACGAAGACGAGAAACGAACCCCCGACACGACGCGCAGGAGTATGTCACATGCTGCGGCCCTCCCCAGGCCGCAGGAGCCCGCGGCATCGCACGCCGCGGCCTCCCGTGCGCCCCACCGAGAGCCATCGCCACCCGAGGTGCTGGGCTGGCGCTGTGGCAGGACTTGCCGCAGGCAGCTGGATACGATGGGCCTGCTTTCCACCACCCCCACCACCACAAGTTGAAAGAGGGAGGGGGTCCCCCTCCTCCTCTTCCTCCTCCTCCTCCTCCTCCTCCTCCTCCTCCTCCTCCCCTCCTTCTCGTCCTCCTCCTCCTCCTCCTCCTCCTCCTCCTCGTCCTCCACCTCGTTCCCCCCATCCAACTTATGGTGGTGGTGGAAAACAGGCCCATCACAAGTAGCTAGGTTGTCCTCTAAGACGGCCTCACGACAGCCTGAGAGAGCCCCTAGACAGACGGCCCAGGACGTGCCCCGAGAGTTCCAAGCTTGCCCAGGAGGGCCTCAGGATGGACCCAAGTCGGCATGAGAACCCGTCGACGGGCCAAGACGAAGACGGCGCGACCACGGCCGCAGGAGGCCCTCCAGGCAGCCAGGAAGGCCCCAAAACGGCCTAAAAGAGCCCCAAGACGGCCCCAGGGAGCCCCAAGACGACCCACAATGGCCCGAATGAATCGCAAGACTGCCCCACAGGAGACCAAGACAGCACCAAGCCGACGACCAAGAAGTGAGGACGAAAGATACCACATGTGACGACCGTCCTCTTCATCCTGCGTCTCCTCCTCCCCACCACCAGCACCAGCACCACCAATTACCCATCATCATCATCATCATCATCATCATCATCATCATCATCATCATCATCAGCAGCAGCAGCAGCAGCAGCAGCAGCATCATCAGCATCATCATCATCATCAGCAGCAGCATCATCATCATCATCATCCTCCTCATCATCATCATAATCATCATCATCAGCATCATCATTATCATCATAATCATCATCATCATCATCATCATCATCGTCAGCATCAACATCAGCATCAGCATCATCATCATGAGAATCATCGGCATCATCATCATCATCACCACAAACCTCATTCGCATCAGCAGCATCATCATCAGCAGCAGCATCAGTAGTATCATCACCACCACCACCCTCATCAGCATCCACCACCAACATCATCAGCAGCAACAGCATCATTATCATCATCATCACCATCATCACCATCATCAGCTGCAGCATCATCATCACGTCATCATTAGCATCATAATCACCATGCTCAGCATCATCATCATAATCACTGTCAGCATCATCATCATCATCAGCATCATCATCAACATCATCATCGTCATCAGCAGCATCATCATCATCATCCGCATCATCATCAACATCATCATCGTCATCGCCATCATCATCATCACCATCTCACCACTACCACCATCATCATCGCCACCATCATCATCAGCTGCAGCATCATCATAATCATAATCACAATCGTCGTCGCCGTCGTTGTCGTCATCGTCATCGTCATCATCATCAGTATCATCATTACCACCACCAACACCACCATCACCTCCACCACCACCACCATCATCAACAGCAATAGCATCAGCATCAGTATCAGCATTATCACCATCACCATCATAATCATCAGTAACATCATCATCCGTATCATCATGATCATTTAAGCCAGTGTTGAGTCCAAATAGATAAGAGGACAGGAGGAGCATGGGAGGAGGACGAAAGGAGGACGGGAGCCGGACGGGAGGAAAACGGGAGGAGCAAAATCAAGCAAGCGCAGGCAAGCAAGCGGAAGCAAGCAAGCGCATGCGAGCAATAACAAGCAAGCAAGAGCCAGCGATCAAGTGCAAGCAAGGGCAAGCAAGGGCAAGCAAGCGAGAGCAAGCACGCGAGACCAAGCAATCAAGTGCCATTGGAAAAAGGGGGGGGGGGCATTGGAAACAGTGGGGGGGCCATTGGAAAAAGGGGGGGGCCCTAAAGACCAATTACTTATGATGGGCTAGGACTCCTGTAGGGCAAGCCTATTTGGAGAATAATCATCATGTGGTTCATCCTCCCCGCCCACCACAATCGTCATCCCCATGGTACACCATCCTTCTCACCATATTCCTTTGTTATCCGCCTCCTCTTTGTACGATGTAGAAATTGGCCAGTCCGACACCGACACGGCGCAACAGAACATATCACATGATACGGCTCTCACGAGCCTCGGGAAACGACGTGTCACCATTTATGGCATCCCGGCAACTGACACTCGCCATCCTAATTTCTGGGCTGGCACGTTGGCAGGACTTGCTGGAGCCAGCTGAATCAATATCATGCGTAAGTGTGTACATGGATACGCATATGGACTTAATAATAACAAAACCAATAAAGAGAGAGAGAGGGATGGAGATAACCAAACACAACACAACAACAACAACAACAACAACAACAACAACACCAACAACATCAAAAACAACAACAACAACAACAACAACAACAACAACAACAACAACAACAACTGCAAAACGAGCAAACTAACAAACAAACCAATAGATGAACAAATGAACAAAAAACAAATCGCCTTCCGAAAGACCCAACCATATGCAACTGCGAGTACCGCGTTGTGGGTACCGCATTCGGTGGAGCTCCTACGGGGGCACGAACTGTGTGAGGGGCGTGCCGAATTGGGCGCGGCGGTGCCATGCGAACCCTCCCACT